ATATATATATATATATATATATATATATATATATATATATATATATATATATATATAGTTCATCCCAATGAAATGCAAAATTTATGGAGAATTCGAGATGCCGCTCTTAACCAATCTCTATGAAAATGATTCCTATTAATGGTTAGAAGTAAACTAAGCTATATTTTAATTTACTTAATTGACTATTGAATAGCAGAAGTCATTATCTAAGATAGCTATTAAATAACTTACATTTAAGCCTAAAAACATTTTCTTCTTACTTTTTAACGAAAAAGGAAATAGAGAAATTAGTTGGAAGCAAAACTAATTAACCAACCACTAGAGTAACATGTATGCAAACACCTTCTAGGCACTTTGATCACCTCTGCACTAGGGCCCATGGAATGGATTTTTTTTTTTATTTTTGTGTATTTTTTGTTATATTTTTTTCATTTTTTATATTTTTCTATAAATTTTTGTTTTATTCTACAATTTCTTTTCATTTTTTTCTTTAATTTATCATTTTCTTTGTTTATTGTAGTTTATGTTATTTTTCATCAATTTTTATGGTTTTCTGTATTTTTGTAATTTTTTGTGTATTTCTTTGTTTTTTGTAATTTATATTATTTTCATCATTTTCTATGTTTCTCATAACTATTTTGCATTTTTTATTTTTTTCTTGAATTTATGTTATTTTCTACATTTTCTATATTTATTTGTATGTTATGTACTTTTTATAGTTATACTTTTCTAGAGTTTATGTATTATGTGAAAAATTAATGGGTTGGGTAGGCTGTGTTGGGTTGAACCCAAAATGGATCATTAACGAGTTGATGGGTCAGGTGCCCACCCAATGGCTTTTTAGAAAGGACAATGTTTTTTTTTTTTTTTTGCCAACTACTATCATGCACCCTCATTTAGAATTGGGATATGTTGGAAAAACAAAAAAACTAAGGGGTAGAATTGGTATGAAAAATCAAGGTCATTCGATCACGCTAATTGAATCATTCTCATTTTTTATATATTGGTAGTAGATATAAATTCTTATTTTATTCTACAATTTTTGTTCATTTTTTTTGTAATTTATGGTTTTTCTTTATTTTTTGTAATTTATATTTTTCTTCAATTTTTATGATTTCTTATATTTTTTGTAAATTTTATCTATGTTTCTTTGTTTTTCTATAATTATTTATATTATTTTCTTCATTTTTTGTGTTTCTTTCACAATTATTTTGCAATGACAATATACACATTGGGAAAAAAATAGAAAGTTGAGGGTAAAGTTGGAAAGTAAAATCAGGGTTTTTTTACCAAACCAATTGCAACATTCTCATTTTTTGGTATGGTATAGATTTGTGATTTATGTTATTTTTCTTCAATTTTTATGATTTTCTACATTTTTTTGTAAATTTTCTATGTATTTCTTTGTTTTTTTGTAATTTATATTACTTCTTCATTTTATGTGATTTTTCATAATTATTTTGCAATGACATATATATAATGGGAAAAATATAAAGTTGAGGGTAAAGTTGGAAAGTAAAATCAAGGTGTTTTGACTAAACCAATTGCAACATTCTCATTTTTTTAGTATAGTATAGCAATTTCTATGAATTTCTATATTTTTTAGTAAATTTTCTATGTATTTCTTTGTTTTTTGTAATTTATATTATTTTCTTCATTTTATGTTTTTCATAAAATGGGAAAAAATATATACAATGGGAAAAAATAGAAAGTTAAGGGTAAAGTTGGAAAGTGAAATTAGGGTGTTTTGACCAAACCAGTTGCAACATTCTCATTTTTTTAACACTAAATTAATATTAAGCCCATAATAGGATTCTTATCATCTAACTAAAATTAATATTAATTAAATAAGAGTTGCCTTTTGTATTCTTTTCAAGTTTTGGTGTTTAGATGATTTCACATGCACTATGTTAATCTTAAGTGAGGTTTATGAATTTTTAATTCTTATTCTAAATATTAGGGTGAATTTGCAGAATAATTGATTAATATATGATTTCAGAAAAAACATAAATAACGATAAATTATTGGTTATGGGATCTCCAATCACCATTTAGCAATTCTTATGTTTCATGTGTGTGATTGATGAGAATTTATAGACGGTTGCAATGAGTTAAATGAAAATAGTAAGTAGCAACAAGGTCAGCACCGGAGAGTGTACGTGGCCATTTATGATAAGATCAAATACTTGAATGATCAAAAAAGAACATTGGAAAACAAAAATTGTTAAGGATAAAGATAAAAAGTAAAATCAAGATACAACCATGTTAACAGTTTGCATTCTCATTTTTTATCGTTGGAAAAAGTTTGATGGATAGAGTATGGTCTCATGAATCATGATAGTTAATTAAATATGTTACTGGAAAAGCAAAAATTATAGAGGATAAAAAGGGAAAGTAAAATCAGGATTTTTGACTAAAACTTAGCATATGGCCTCAAGAATCACGATAGTTAAATAAATTAGGGGAAAAACAAAAATCATAAAAGGTCAAAAGGGAAAGTAAAATCAGGCTTTTTGACTAAAAATTGTCACCATCATCATTTTTATAAATGGTACAGAAATCACATAAACCATCTAAAATACATGAAAGAAGAATATATACATCATGCCATAAATCATACCAACTGAAAATATTCTCATCACAATAATAATATAAACAGTTAAGTTTAGATGATAAGCAAATCACATATCATATATCAGATACAAAATTGAAGCAATCATATATTTGTCTAAGGTCCATCTGTCAAATATAAATTTTGATGAAGTTTTACTCATTTTTTTTTTAACTTTTCAGATCTGAATTTTCAGATTTATCAAACGCTACTTTACTTTTTATCAAACTAAACACAACCTTAAGGGTCATTTGATTAATGAAGTGGATAAACTCAATGAATTGATTTATCTTTAAAGTTTTTGAATCATATATAATATTTTAATGTTCAACTATGATACAAGAAACTTAAAGCCAACCAACTGATATCATAAAAGTCGTAACCAATCATAGAGTATTCATCAAAATTGGCGGGGGTTGTTTGCTTGAAATGCAATTTTATTTTTACTAGCAAAAAAGTACATGAGTGCAAATAAATTGAGTCTGAAATTTGGTTTGATTTTGTTATAAATTTTACTTTATTTTGTTTGTTTGTGGTGTAGAAGGAAGTAAAATAGAACCTAATTAAAGCAAATAAACAAGTAAAATTCAAAACAAAAATAAACCAAACTTTGCAATTTATTCATTTTGTGCTCCCATATATTTGTTCTAGTGCAAATGAAATTGTACTACAAACAAACTGAGAAGACCACGGGTTTTGCTTGTGAGTAGACCTTGGATTGGCCCGGCCTGACTTGTTATATATTGGGCTTGGAATCCTTGGATAATGTTTTAAGTTCATAGGCATGGGTTCAGTCTTTCCCAAATATGTCTGACCCAATAACATTATATATAATAAAAATATAATATATATTAATAATATTTAATAATAAGACTAATAGTGAAAATGTATTATATATATTATAATATATAGAATATTATATAATATGTAATATATTATATAATCAATATATTAAAAAATATTACCCAATGGACGGATCAGGCTCGAGCTTGAGGCTGGTAAATTTTTGTTTTATAAAGAGGCAAAAACCCCGTCCAATTCGTCCCGACCTGGTCTATGAACAGATCTCAGAATGTACCTGCGACTGCATCTTCTTAATCTTTAGGGATGATAATTTTTCTCACAAAATCGGGTCCCTAATCCGATCCGTCCCAAACGGAGCGGATTTCCCCGATCACAAAATGTATACGAGTCGGGTTTGAAAGTTTTTCTTTTGCCTCGAACCGGAGCGGGGATGGGGTTTGCATATAAATCTCCGAACCCGCCCCGACCCCGGTTATGAATTACAAAAAATCATAACCGGAGAGAAGAGGAGCCGTTGATCGCCGGGTGCCGTCGCCGCCGCCGCCGCCGTAGCACAGAGGAACCGCCGATTGCCAGGTTCTTCCTCTCGTTCACTGATTCACTGATTCACTCTTCCTTTTTCCTCTCTCCGTTCGTCCGCCGACCGTCGAGCGTCGCAGCCACTGTAGCAGCAGATAGCAGTGACCACTGACCAGTTACAGAGTCTTACATACTATCATTCTTCCTTTCTCGGTCTCTCCGTTTGTCCGCCCAGTTTCTCCCTCTGTTTCTCGATTTTTCCCTTTTTACAGTGTTTGTAATAGTGAGAACTGAGAAGGTAGAGAGATTGTTCACAAATTTCTCCATTCGTCCACCGAGTTCGGCCATTCCTTGTATTCACTACCCAAAGTCCAAACGGCCTGTTTCAAAATCAGGTTTCTCACTCAAGTCATTAAGCGTGCAGTCTGTATCTTATTCGCAAATTAAAGTCGAATCAATGGATTGTTTAATTAAGTTTCCGTGTTTTTCAGCATAATGTGCTTGTTCACAAATTAAATTAAAGTCTGTATCAATGCATTGTTTAATCAGGTCTCCATTCGGCCATTTTCTTTGTATCTAACAATTATGTGCTTTCGGACAGTAATACGGTCATCGGGGCGGGGATATGTCGGGGATTCTCCATTCCGATTTTCGACGGGGCTGGGATGGGGGTTGAATTTTTACCTCGATACCGGGGACGGGGCGGAGATGGGAAGGGGGTGCCCCGCCCCATACCCGCCTCGTTGCCATTCCTATTAATCTCAGGCGGTCAGGTAAGGATCCGATCCGTATTCAGACGGATATTTTTACTCGACTGGTGCTAGCTTTATCCAATCCACAAATAGAGAAATAATGAGCGTAGTACTACTCTCACTCACTCTCTCTTTCTAGAAGAAAGAAGATTTCTCAACTGGAATTTCAGGTTGAGTAATTTCTTTTAATTTGTTCTGTGAATTCTACTGTTACTCATATCGGTTTCTATTGAATGCTTCTAACCATGCGATGAAAATCATTTATGTAGAAATTCCATTCTCTCAATTTCCTATTTCCTGTTACAATAGGGACACTTCCGCTTAATTTCTTGACCTCTTTGACGGAAATTCACTGATGTATGTTCTGAAAACCCTTTTCATTCGGTTCAGATGGTGCCCATCTCTCTGTAATATCTATCAAGTATTAACCCGGAATTGTTTAAGAAAAAGAAAATGTCTACTCAGGACGGACTTGGATATGCTTCCTTTTTTATTTTCTATGTTTTGATATTGATACTTCAATCGACGGAGTTCTCAGCGTTGGTAGACAGAATCTTGGAGAATTCTTTATCTTTTATTGTTATACATTTTGTTCACTTGGTAGATATGGAGAAATATTGTTCTCTTATGTCGTTAACAGTTATTTATTTCCTTGAGTATTCTCTTTGAAGTTTGCTCCGAAGTGATAGTTGTAACGCTAATAATGCACAATTGATTTCATTTTCCAGTAATGGCCCTGCAAAATTTAATGGGATTTCAGTGCTTTCTGTCTACTGTAAGAGAGGACAGCATTTTCAAAGCTTATTCAGCATCTTCTGGTCTTCTTCCAGTCTCCCAAGAAAAACAGAAAAGCTTCAATGTTTGTTCATTGAGAGTGGAGTACTTTGGTCTCACCTCAGAAAAGTTTCTCCATACTCTTCCGATGGTATGTTATGTGTTACTCTTTTTACATTTTCGTTGGAGTCCGTGGTTGTTCATCACACAGACCTGGAACCAGAACACACAGTTTTGCCATCTAATATATGATACACTAACCTACTTTCCCATAAAGGCTGTATTTGCTTCCCTGTAAAAGGATCAAAATATTAAATGAGCTTTTACAGATTGAAAAAAAAAACACTCCTTTACTATGAAACAGATAGAGCCGATAGAGAAATATAATAATTTTTTTTATACTATTTCTTATTGTTCTTTGATTTTTAATATATTTAATAAATTTCTTTTGTTGATTTTGGATAATGTTTGAGAAGAAGGGCGACTTTAGAAAAAGATCAAAGCTGAAGGCTTCTAAAGTAGTTGAGGAGGTCGGATTTAGTGATGGAAAGAATGAGAAAGAAGCCGGTAGTAGTGATGAGGATGAGGAAGATGGTCCGGAACTAATGGATGAGGAAGAGAGGAAGGAATGGAGAAGGAAGATCAGAGAGGTGATTGACATGAACCCACATGTTGAGGAGGAAGAAGACCCAATTGAGAGGAGGAAAAAGATGGAGAAGCTTCTGGCTGATTACCCCCTTGTGGTGGAGGAAGAAGATCCTGACTGGCCTGAAGATGCAGATGGCTGGGGATTTAACTTGGGTCAGTTCTTCAATAAGATCACAATCAAGAATGTCAGAAAGGATGATGATGAGAACTATGACAGTGACAAAGAGTTAGTGTGGCAAGATGACAATTACATCCGTCCAATCAAAGACATTACCACTAAGGAGTGGGAAGAGGCCGTGTTCAAGGACATCAGTCCTCTGATTGTTCTTGTGCATAACCGGTATAAAAGGTCAGAATTTCCATATTGTGTTTCACTTTTCTTTTGATATCCATATCTACAAATGAATTTTTATTTCATGGATTCTGAAGTCAATTCTCCAGGGTCTGATTCCTTTTCTAAGGCCAATATTTATAGGTCAAGTCTACCTAACTTTGATGTATAAATTTGTCCTTGACAGTGAGACAGTCTCATCTTCTTACTAATCTGGTTGCTCATCATCATCATCCAAGCCTTATCCCAACCATAAGGGTCATCTACATGAATCCTGTTTTGCCAGTCTGTTCTGTAACTTCTGTTTAACCAGGTTGCTCATATCATCTCTAAAAGTGTCTCTTGTATTGGATTGCCCTGGATAAACATGCAGAAGTGCCATATTCTTGTTATAGGAGGTGCCTTTTTGTCAATTTCCTCATCTTCAATCCTCATATGGTGCTTCTCTTCTCTTCCCTAATCCCTACAAATTTTGAACAGAGAAGGGAGTGAGTTATCACTAAGTTTCTAGATTTATACGTTGTCATTTTTTCTAAAGCTACATATAACATCTCCCTTTGACCTATTCCATTATTTTCCATTTCTTTTTCCTCCACAATAGAGTTTCCTAAATAAATGTTTATTTCATTGGTATACCTGTATTCCAGTAACTTATTAAATGACTGTCATTTGATCAACTTAAAAGATTTCAAAAAAGAAAAAGTCCCTGCTCTACTCATAAACTATATGGAATTACATTGAATTCAAAAAGATGTGTTTATGATATGATTTGAAGGTACAAGAAATATATTTACTCTGGCTATATGATCCATGGTATCTTAATTAGAAAATTAGAAAATCTATTACTGGTTGCTTATGATTCTGGACATATATGCATATTGTACATTCTTGCTTTCAGTTGCAAAGATGTTCATTTTTTATAGTAAATGCCAAAACACAGAACTCCCCTGACTATAAATCTATAGACACCCAAGCCTCAAGCAACCCAAACGGTTACAAAAACCAACTCCAACTAAAACATAGGCAGGTATTGATAAAAAAAACATGGGTGGAGAAAATCACCTCCCCGGTCCCTAAAACCACTTTCCTTCCTCATGCACATCATATGAATCCCACCCAAATGAGCACCTTTTTCTTCAGCCTATGCATACCCCTACCACTTCTTCCTCTGCTCCAAACATTTGTAGAGCCATTTCTAACTGCCTTAGAAGTCACATTAATGTCTGCTTAAGTTAGCAATCCTTTCTTCTTCCCTCTTCCTATACTCGCAATAGCAGTGTCCCAGTTAATAGTCCCACAGCCACTAGCACCATCATCATTCTTCTTGGATCTGTGACCCACTTCTGTACTACTAAACCCACCATGTCTCCTTCCAACCTCCTGAACATGGTGTATACTGTCCCCTATACCACCCAAAAAGAGAAAACCCATGTGCCTTGATCACCTTCATATTTATTGATATTTTGATAAATGATCACCCTCATATTTATGATCAATCACCTGATCTATTGGAATTACCTTTCCCACATTGTGGACCTTGTCAATCTGTGGTTCCTTATTTATCCTTTGACTCTTAACTCCATACTAAGCCATTTGAAACTTTCATCTCCCTATGAGGTCTTATTCTATACTTTCTTCTAGGTAAGGATAGAAGCTTCTCACTTGAAACAGCCCTCTCCTAATAGTCCTGGCTTCATTCATCATTAGCTGATAGTTTTCACTCCTCTGGCACAATGAGCTAGATGCCCGCATTGAGAAAGACAGGTGTACCATCGTCGACCAGCAATACTAAAGGTTGCTCCCTCTACCAGCCAGGCTAGGGGCTTCTTGATCTTCAGTCTCCCTGTTGAACTTAAGCATCGGCTGCTGGAGAACACCTCATCACTAACCCCCATCCGAAGTGCTTGACAAGAGAAGGAAATCCTCTTCTTTCCCTCTTGTTGTTTATACACCCTAAGGGTTGACCCCTTTAGGATACCCTCTAAAACTTTTAAGTTAGAATTCAAAGATTGGTGGGCTTTAAGGGCCCATGATGGAAATCCTCTTCTTTCCCCCTGCTATGTTCATCTTTTTTTCTAGATCAGCAACAAAGATTTCATTATTTGATCAAATTAGAAAATTTGATGCTACAAATCTATGCTGAACGGTATTCCAGCTCCCATCACTGTACACTCCAGCCTGAATTACAAATTAGTCAAAAAAATTTGATCTTACAAATTACTCCAGCCAGAAAATTTGATGTTACAAATCTATGCTGGACAGTATTCCAGCTCCCTAGATCATTGGCCAGACTATTTTCTGTTCATTTTACCCATTTGAACATCGCTTCCACTTCTTTTGCTAGGTTGCTAATTTCCCTTAGAGTTTGTCTGTATATCCGAGATCCAGAACTGTTGCAATTCATCCATTAAATGACTAATTTTGAGTCCTTTTCCACCTCCACCTGCTTCAGTCCAAGTTGTTTTGGTATCCTCAATCCCTTGCAAGAATGACATAATTTCAGCTTTTAGTGAGTGTCCATGACCAATCGGCCCTGAGTACATTGCCACAATCTCGTCTTTTTCATTTCTGAAAACACCTCCCACTCCTGAGGGTCCAGGATTACCCAATGAGCTACCATCAAAACCCAGCTTTAACCTGTTGTGTGGAGGAGGTTTCCATGCTACTGTACTTGTGTCCTTCACAGTTGAGGAATTTGCCACCACATCTCAAAGCTCTCAAAATGCCATCTACCAAAAACTCTATGAAGTCCTCCATTGTTCTCACCCAGTGTGTCACTCTTTAACTGCTATAGCTTCGTGCTAGACCTTCTGGTGGAATAAAAGCAGAGTGTAGGGAATATGTCTTCTAAGACCTGAGTTCTCAAATCTTCTTGTTGCTTAAACTGGAACTAGATTAAAAGTTAATAGGCATCATAAATTTCTGATAAATTTCTGATAAATTTCTTTAGACCAAAGGAGAATGAAAAGGCGTGGGATGAATTGGAGAAAGCAGTGAACATCTTTTGGAATTGCAGGCTGCCTTCACCAAGAGTATGTAAAATGAATTTTATCATTTATATGGTTCCTAAATTCCTATACGGTCATTGCCATTTCTTGACATTTTGATGCTCTATTAAACAGTGTGTGGCAATTGATGCTGTTGTCGAGGTTGATTTGGTCTCTGCTCTGAAAGTCTCAGTTTACCCTGAGATTATCTTCACTAAAGCTGGAAAGATTTTATACCGTGAGAAAGGTATTTGTTTATCAAATAAATGAGTCTCATTGTTGTTCCACTTCTCGATTGGATTATGGCTGCAAATTACCATTGTGGTTGTTCAGGTGTTCGGACAGCAGATGAGCTATCAAAAATAATGGGATTCTTTTACTATGGAGCAGCCAAGCCACCGTGCTTGAGTAATGTTGGAGATAGCCATGAATTGATCCCCTCCATAGACAACAAACCACAATGAACAATTATGAATCGAAGCACCATTCTGTATGAAGATAGACGGTTCTTAATAAGTTTTAGTAACAGGGGAAGAGAGAGAATATTCCTTTCCTGGATATAAGCTGGAGTTGAATTGAGTTATACAGGATATGCCAAGTATCCATAACAAGTTATGCAGTTCGAGTTCAAACAGGAAGAGGTACGTTGCAACTTGCAAGTATAGCAGTGATAGCGGTAGGTTTGAATTGTTTGTATCCAGTTACTGGTTTCCCTCCCTTACGCACTCAGGGCGTTCCTTGCTAGATCCAGCAGAAAGACGGTTGCTTCTCTTCACCTAACTTATTATTGCTCATAAGCAATATATGTAAAATATGAGAGCTGATTTAGATTTGTTCATAGTGATTTTGTTTTATAAAATATCGAAGGAACAACAATGATGTTTATGTTTATTAATGCACGCCGAACAATGGGTGAATGAAGCCAATATGTTCACGACTTTCTTGAAAGAAAAGAAAAGAAAGAAAAAGTGTTTATTTTGTTTAGATATGCGTCTTACTTTTTAGTTTAGAAAGAAAAATTATCGTTTTTCTATTTCTAATAAAACAAAAGAGGTATTTCGGCTTCGTTTGGATAATCATTCGGTTTTGAGCTTTAGGTTGTGTGAAGCGAAATTGAGCTTAAAAATGTTTCTAGTGTTTGGTAGGAGTTGCTTTCAAAAACATTACAATATGAAGCCAATGCATTTTTGAGTTCCAAAGCATGAAGCCAGTTTTCTGCTTCTGAACTTTAAAAGCACAAACCTGAAGCTTACCCAAACACAACCTTAGCTTATTAATTAACAAGCACTAAGGTAATGTTTCACCATAAAATAAACAAAATAAAAAGTGAAAAAAAAAACGCCTTTGGAGAGAGCAGAAGCATGTCAAAAGTTTGCTTCTTCAAATTGTTTTAGTTTCATGCAACCATTAAAAAAACTAAAGAAAATTTATCATATGATTATATTAGTAATTACTTTTGAGGGCATCCATGCCATATATTTTCAAGGTAAAGCAGGAGGGTTCGGATGTAGTAGGCACGTTAGGTAAACACAATGAGTAAACATATAATAGGTGTTTGGCACATGTCCTAGTTAATGTGCTTTTTATCCAAACGATTTTGCTTCATCGATAGAACCGACAAAAAGTCAATCCAAGTGTTCAACCCATGAACTTGGCCTAACTTGAAAAATAGTAGGTTAGGGTCTCCTATCTAATGACCCGAACTAAAAGATGACATAATCTAAGTCAAGAGGATTTGAGTTGGGTCACTCATGAGTTACTTAGGTCATGTGTTTTCTTTTTTTAATTAGTATTGACTCGGTGTTAAATCCACATTTTTGGTAAAAATTGTTTATTTGGTCATATATGAATTTATGTTGACAATTGAACTATTGACATGTTGACCCATGGGTCAATCCTAACATGAATATTTAGGGTTAGGGTTTCAACGTCTAACCTTTGTCGACCCAACCTGACTTGAAATAAACCAAAAAATGTATTGATCCAATATGATTATTAATTTATTCTTTTACTTATAAATATATTTAATATTTTATTATTAATATTTAATATAAATATTTATGGGTGACAATATTAGCTCGAATAGCTAATATTTTATTATTAATTTATTTTTTAATATCATTATTTGCTGATAATATTATAGAAGGAGATTATTGTTCCATGGCAGTAAATAGGAGTGGATTCGAGCCGAGCCGAATATCTAGCTATTCGAGCTTGGCTCGATCATAACTTATCAGGCTCGAGCTCGAGCTCAATTCGAAATAGAGACTTGAGCTCGAGTCAAAAACTTGGAAGTTCGAACTTGGCTGCCTCTGATTGCAGGTCTCCTTAACAGTAGCAAAAGATAAACTTGCAATTGATTGAGCGGAAAATCTTTAAAGTCTCTCTCAAAATGAAGCTCAGATCTCAGGAATCAGCCATCATATAGTGATGGCAACGATGCTGGTTTTGTAAATTCTACAGCAATAGCATCCCCCTCTCTCCAAACCTTCCAACCTGTATTTTTTCCAAAACCCATAATGGATTCGATTTTCAGAGTCCAAATTCTCTCCACCAATCTTCTAAGACCTAGACTAGACCAGGCAGGTGGACTGTTGAACTTTGGAACTGGAGATCATTTTGGTTTTTTAAAACTTTGGATCCCAAGTTTCCGAAAAACTGGTAGAAGCGATCAAAACCTAGCAAAGTCGTTGAAAATCAGTTGGGTTTTGATAATTCAACAGGTTTTTCAGTAAGTGCTCAAAAACTTAAAACAGTCAAAAGACTCAAATAATCTCTCTCTCTCTTCCTACACATGAAAATGGAAAAACTCTCCCTGACCATATTCTCCTTGCATTTTATGATTGTCACATTTTTAAAGAAAATGTAATATTTTTAATAAAGGGAATCTCTTTTTTTTTTTTCAATTCATATACATGCTAAATGATATATATAACTAGGGCACTAGTTAAAAAGTTAGTTATTAAAATTATAGAGTTCTTATCACCTAGGTGGTTGCCTGGGTGTCCTAGTGTCTCCCAAAATTAACTAGATGTCTTGAGTAACTATGATTATGGTATTGTATAGGTTGTAAAATCCTAAAACTTGTTTTTGCCTCAAAATCCATTTTTCAAACATTAAGGCTTTGTTTGGAAGGAATACAAATGCAAATATGTCGTGCAAAACCTTATATTTTGTATGTATTTATACTGTACATATTTGCATTTGTACTCTTTCCAAACTGAGCCTAAAAAAAAGAAAAGAAATGGATACCCACCAAATAGGATGGAGATTGCCATCCCTAGCCATCAAAACTTGTTCAGCACCAACTTTATACTCTCACGTCATTCTCAGTTGGAGTCTCATTACCCATTTGAGAGAGGGCTTTCACATAGTGGCTTCTGGCTTTGCAAGGGGGCTTTACATGGTAAGCTTAGATTTGGTGAAAAACCTAGAAAGCCCCAATGTGCTATCAATTGAGCTCATAAATCAATTTTGAAGTGAAACTAGCTTTGTTAGCTTCTTCAAATTCAATGTAGATCAATCAAAGTCCTCTCAAATGCTAGCATTGGTGTTTCTAGACCATCCTGTAACAAAAAGCAGTGTTTAAAAAAATTAGACTATTTCAATCGTGACTTGGGCCCTCTTAAACAATCGGCCAAAACCGATTGATCAGTCAGTTTATAGCATTGGTGGTTCGAGACCATCTTATAACAAAAAGTACTGTTTAGAAAACAGGACTAGTTGAATCATGACCTGGGCCCTTGGCTAGTTTAATCATACCCTAAAAACTGGAACTAATAAAAAATTGGCCGTCCTGACTTCACAAAACTGCCTGAGTCACTGAGGCGGTGTTTAGTATAGCTTTCATTTATTTGATAAACGGTGCTATGTCATCATCATCGGTGTTGATAAAAGTTGGTCATGATTTATGTGCACGTTAATCATTGTGGGAATTTTATTTTAACGCTTCCCCTAAATAGTTAAGCGTTTATTCACTGTTCTGCTGATGTGGCACCTAATGATACCTAATGGCATCTAGTTGTCAATAAACAGTTTATCAAATACTTTTTCTTGATTTTAAAAACAAATCAAATACAAACATTTATTTAATAAACAGAAACTATACCAAATATATACTAAATGGATGTAGGTTTTAAAAATTCTAATTGACTTGTTATTTTTATGTATTGTTTTTTATATATATTTCTTTAATACACACCTATCCCATCATATCCAAACATGTTATTATTTGTAAAATATCATATAAAATATTTACGTGACTCATACCTCCGTTGAACCTCTCTGATTTTTAGTTCTATGTCCAGTTCCAATGTCTGAACATTAACAAAAAGCCTTTGACTGAAAATGTCTCTTTGACCTCATAAATACTCCATTTACATTTTTGACACAACCATTTCTTAGAAGCTGCCATATATATATATATATATATACACAGAAATACAATGTTGGACTAAGGTTTCAAGTATTGATACCGTCGTCGTCGGATGATGTATGCCAGGTTTGAGCTGAGCTGAAGGTTAGGCTCGGGTTATCAGTCCTAGGGGTGTCAATTGGATTGGATTTGGTCCAATCCGATCCAGTCTGATGTGAGTCTATTATAAATGGGTCAGGTTCAATTCAATCCAATGAATGTTTTGGATTAATTTGTACTGGTTCAATTCCATGTTTGGATGGTCTAATTTGTTCAAATTCATTTTCATGTAGATTGGTTTCAATCCAAACCTGGTCCATTGATACATATATTCTTATCTTATATCAATGGACCAGATATTGACTTAATCCAACTCAATCTAATATAAACTTGTTATGGACAGATCAAATCTAATTCAATAGATATTTTGGACCAAATTGGTCTAATCCAATATGTCTTGTTGGTCCATCCAATCCGTCTAAATTGATTTTGCACTGGACGGGGTCCAATCCAAAATCAGTCCATTGACACCCTTACCTAGTCGCTAACCTACGCCCAACTCAAAAATGAAAAAAAACCTTAGAATTTAGGCCCAGGCCATTCCGACTGAAAATCAAATCCCAGGCGCGCAATGCAAAAATTCGGGTTGGATCAGTCAAGCCCAAATTATACCCCTCGATCGGTCTGTTGTTCTTCGGATATGTATTAGAGATTTTTTAGGTAATGTTTTAAGTGCGAACGCAAACCTTGAATTCTTTTAATGGAAACTCTTCTGAACTGCATATGTTTTTTTCTTTATAGAGCTTCAATTGGCCTTTGTTCTTCTGTACATAAGACATACGAGATTGTTGGAAGCCGAAGGACCAACACTTGAAGTTTGAGAGAGAGAGAGATTGCTAGTTAATTGTATTAGTATTAATTTACTCCCACAGTCGTCAGTCGGCCCATTTAATTTGACTCTTCGAGAACTGTTGAATGACTAATGATTTCTTTCTCTACGTCGTCTTTGTGACTTTGTATGAGTTTTTCTGTGTATACACTACTCCGAAGGCTAGAGAGAGAGAGTATTTAAGATATTCGACTCCCAATGACTAATGATTTCCTTTTCTGCGTGCATGTGTGTCTCTCTGTGTCTCCATGCACTTCACATCGGGAGGCTGAACGGAGTGATATGGTGTTTATGTGACTGTGAGAGAGAGATAGATGAAACGATGTTGGGGAATAGTAATGGGTGGAGACTGGAGATGTAAACGGTGAAATATCCAATGGGTCGCATTGAATACAGTAACTCATCTATGGCTTGTATATAGAGATGCTACACGTTGTAGAGAACCATGCAACCGTAACTCAGATCAGATGTTTACAAGAAGAATCTCTGTGGTAAGCGATTTACGCAGGACGAATGGAGAGGCTCCAAGAACAGAACATTAAAATGGACACGCTTCTCCTGTATGGTGAGGACCTCACCAAGCTGGCTGAGGAGGTATCACTTTAATTTCACAGTTTCACTCACTATAGTCATA